CGTGTTGGCATGGAGAGCGTCGCGCTCCCCAGCCTCCCCTTACACCCCTTCGTTTCTCCCTCAAGGAACAAGATGAGAAAAGGATTAAAATCGAAACCAAAGAAGGGTAAGGAGGAAGGAGAGCGTTCCCTGCTTTGGGTCGGTGCCCGTTTCCCTCCACCGTGGTCTGCTTAGCGCGGGGACGGTGACGTTACGCTGCTCTGCGTCTTCATCCCGTGTTTTCTTACACCCAGGTTGGAGATAAAAGATGAAATTACTCAGGTTAAAACTACACCACCTGCTAAAGTAAGTTCTTTTACCTCCATCTCAGCATTTTGGGGGCTTTTTTTAAATGCTTTTTACTCTTCCAAAGAGTGGCTGGACTTCCCTAAAGGAAAAATAAAGCCATTTCCAGCCCACGCGGCTTCCAAAAACCAACCCTCTCGAGGAAGGCGAGGAAGGCGGGGAGCAGCACAGCCTGTATGAGCTTGGGCTGCTTTCGAAGCGAGGGCAGCGGCCGCTGTTTTGCTGCCTGGATGCTTTAAAAACGAGGGTTACGCTAACGAACGGGACCGTTTGGGGAAGGAGCTTTGAGCCTGCTCGTGGGCTGAATCTCACGGGGGAGAGAAAAGCCGACGCCGTCTCCCGTGTCTTGCAGACCACCCCTCCCAAGTGCGTCGACTGCAGACAGTACCTCGATGATCCCGACCTCAAATTCTTCCAAGGGGATCCTGATGATGCCGTAAGGGATTTAATGTTCCTTCTCCGGGGCCGGGGAGAGCTGTCACGTTAACGGGAACGCTCGTTAAACATCCTTCTCTCTCCCTCGTTTAGCTGGAGGAGCCAGAAATGCTGACGGATGAGCGCTTGTCCCTCTTCGACGCTAACGAAGATGGCTTTGAGAGCTACGAGGACCTGCCGCAGCACAAAGTCACCTCTTTTAGGTGAGAGATGGGAAATCAAGCTATAAAAACCCGCTGGATTTGCAAACCTCGCAGGACAACGCATCAAACTGCAACCTCTGTCCCTTGCCAGCGTCTACGACAAGCGAGGTCACTTGTGTCCCTTTGACACCGGCCTGATCGAGAGGAACATCGAGCTGTATTTCAGCGGTGCCGTGAAGCCCATCTACGACGATAACCCTTGTCTGGACGGTGAGTCGGACGCGGAGGAGCCTCGAGGGCTGCGAGGACCTTAAATTTCAGCTCAACGCCACGTGCAAAATGAAGTTGGGTCCGGATGGCGCTTTGTCACCCACGGCTGCTTGGTTTTTCTGGGCGCCGAAGACTGAAATTTGTGTTTTCTCGCTTTCAGGTGGGGTGAGAGCCAAGAAGTTGGGGCCCATAAACGCCTGGTGGATCACGGGGTTTGATGGAGGGGAGAAGGCTTTGATCGGCTTCACCACAGGTGGGTGAGCGAGGACGGGGGAGGTTGGGCTCGGGGAGAGCGTCCGGCTTGGGATTTAAGTCTCTTCCACGCATCCGGCTGGTGAAGGAGCTTTATTTGGGTTCATGGATTTTGCTGCCGCCGGGAACTTGCACCGTCAAGCACGTGGCGAGGTGGAGGACCGTGCCGAAGCTCGCGTCTGGGTTTATTTAGCTCAGCAGCACCCAGGCTTATGTTAAATGCGTATAAAACCTCCTGCTGAGCTCGCAGCTGCCAGGACAAGCAAGGTGTCTCCTTGCCAGCCCTTCCCAGGCAGGATCCGTCCTCCGGTCCCTCCTCCGCGGGAAGCTGCCGGCGCAATGCGGGGATGGCTCAGGGTCGCTCTCGGAGGGAGTTTTCTCTTTGCTCTTGACCTCTTGGCCCCCATTGCAGGGCTCTCTTGCTTTCTTGCTCTACTCCCCGGGCTTTTCGGACAGGTTTGTGTTGAGAAAGGTCTTGGAGGAATGCCCAGTCCCGGCCAGCCCTTGGCTCTGTGTCCCAGCTGGCTTTTTCACTCTATAGCCAAATTGGGGGAAGAAGGCTGATAATTTGGGGGTTTAAAAGCTTTTTCCCTTCACCATTTCTGCAAGGAACCCTTCCAATAACCTGGTGATATCAGAGAAGGACTTAACTCTCCTGTGCATCAGCAAATGGAGTTTGTAGTGACAGCAAAAACCCCTGGATTGTCTTTGCTTTCTAATTAGGTAACAGCAAAACTAAAAGGCTAATGCGTGGATAGCGTGCCCCACCTCACGTCCCCACTCCCCCCTCGCTTTGGTGGTGATAGCTGAGTGACCGTGGGTCCTGGCTTGTGGTAGAGCTTCCCCGCACGCTTAGGTCCTGGTGCTGTAGCAGCGTGGACGGGCTGGTCTTCCCCTCCCCGGGACCCGCTCGCCGCAGTCTTAGCTCATCCTTAAATATCGCCAAATTCCCCGGTATTTAACCGCCCGCCGCGATCTCTCCGCCACAGCCTTCGCGGATTATATCCTGATGGAGCCCAGCGAGGAGTACGCTCCCATCTTTGCCCTCATGCAAGAGAAGATCTACATGAGCAAAATCGTCGTCGAGTTCCTGCAGAACAACCGCGACGTGAGCTACGAGGATCTGCTCAATAAAATCGAGGTGAAAATCCGATGACGGCAGTATCTGGGGGGGGTGGGTGTTCCTCTGCCACCCTTTCCCTAACCAACCCCCCCTCCCCGCCTCCTCGCAGACCACCGTACCTCCCGCGGGGCTGAACTTCAACCGCTTCACAGAGGATTCGCTCCTGCGACATGCCCAGTTCGTGGTGGAGCAAGTGGAAAGCTACGACGAAGCTGGGGACAGCGACGAACCTCCCGTCCTCATCACGCCCTGCATGAGGGACTTGATCAAGTTGGCTGGAGTCACCCTGGGGAAGAGGTGAGCCCCGTGTCCCTGCGTAGACGCTCTCTTTGGGGGATGCTTGGCTTTGCAGCATCCCGGGAGGAGCCCGGTGGGTTGGTTCCCCATCGGCTTTGCACAGGGGATCCTTCCAGAAAAAACCTTTTGCTTGTTCCCTGCTGGGATGACCTGAGGATTTAGGCTTAGCGCTGGGAGATTGGAGTAGAAATCCTTCCAAAACTGGGAAAAACCTCTGCCTAGTGCTTCCCCGAGGGAGAAAAGGCACTGGGTTGGGTCCCCGGAGCCTGGCTTTGCTCTTTGTCCTGCTGTAGCATCCCTTTGGGACCCCGTGCCAGCCACGGGACGTACCTGGGTGCCTGTTAGGGGATCCTGCCGTGGTTCTCGGCTGTTGGGGAGAGCTCTGTTCCCTGGGGACCCTCCTTGGGTGCCGAGCTGTTCGTTGTGGCTGTAGCTGTCAGCGATACGAGGCACAGAGTCCCCTCTCACCGCTCTCACCTTGGTCGCAGGCGAGCTGTCAGGCGGCAGGCCATCCGGCACCCCACCAAAATAGACAAGGACAAGGGTCCCACCAAAGCCACCACCACCAAGCTGGTGTACCTCATCTTCGACACCTTCTTCTCGGAGCAGATCGAGAAAGACGAGAAAGAAGATGACAAGGAGAACGCCATGAAGCGCCGGCGCTGCGGCGTTTGTGAGGTAACGGGGGGCTGGCATGGAGCTAAAGTGACCTGATCCCCGCCGTTCCCCTCCATCCTACCTAAATGACGCCTTCTGGGGTTACTCCCTTGGGGCAAGGGGGCGATTTCCCGAGGCCACTGAGCTCCCCTCGGTCCCTGTCCCTCCTGCTTGGGGCATCTCCGCTGCGTCTGCCCGTGCTCAGCCTGTCCCCTCTCCCTGCTCCAGGTCTGCCAACAGCCCGAGTGCGGGAAGTGCAAGGCTTGCCAGAACATGGTGAAGTTTGGGGGCAGCGGACGGAGTAAGCAGGCTTGTTTGCAGAGGAGGTGCTTCTCCTTCCGGCAGCGACGTCTCCTGCCAAAGTCCTCGCCACCTCCAGAAAGAGGGGACGTGGTCCCCATGCCGTGTGCTGCTGCAGTGACAGTCCCTATGTCCCCAGGTGTCCCAACCTGGCCGTCCGGGAAGCTGATGAGGATGAGGAGGTGGATGACAACATCCCTGAGATGCCATCGCCCAAGAAGATGCTGCAAGGCAGGAAGAAGAAGCAGAACAAGAGCCGTATCTCCTGGGTGGGGGAGCCCATCAAGGTGAGGCTGGGCAAGACCCCGCTGCCCTGCTGCTGCCGGGGCTGGGGTGTGCGCTCCGGCTGCGAAGGGAGCTGCGTCGCTCGCCGGCGTGGGGATTTAACAGTGCTCCCCGCTGTCCCCCTGCTTCTGCAGAGCGATGGGAAGAAGGACTACTACCAGAGGGTCTGCATCGATTCGGAAACCCTGGAGGTGGGAGACTGCGTCTCCGTCAGCCCCGACGATCCCACGAAGCCCCTCTACCTCGCCAGGTCGGGGTCGTAAGTCTCTGCTCCTGCTGGGGTGGACGTGTGTGGGGACAGCTGACGTTCCTAATTGGAGAACCCTAATTGCTTGGTCGTGCTGCTCTTTGAGGACTCTCCAGCTCTGGCAAGGCTCAGAGCAGCTCAGCCCTTTCCTGGTGCCCCATAACCCTGGCTCCTTCCCCCTCAGGGTGACAGCCATGTGGGAGGACAGCAGTGGCCAGATGTTCCACGCGCACTGGTTCTGCCCCGGCTCGGACACCGTCCTGGGGGCCACCTCTGACCCCCTGGAGCTTTTCTTGGTGGATGAGTGCGAGGACATGCAGCTCTCCTACATCCACGGCAAAGTCAAAGTGATCTACAAGGCGCCCTCGGAGAACTGGTCCATGGAGGTGGGTGACAGCCCTGCAAAACCCGGCTGGCCTGGGCCAGGCACGGCGTGGGCAACGGCACCGATCCCTGTGAACACCTCTCTCCTAGCAGGGCGGGCTGGACATGGAGATCAAGATGGTGGAAGACGACGGGAGAACTTATTTTTATCAGATGTGGTACGACCAGGAATACGCTCGATTCGAGTCCCCACCAAAAACTCAGCCCACGGAAGATAACAAATACAAGTGAGCGTGCGCTTTTGGGATCCGCTGTGCCCAAAATGGACAGCAGGAGCCTCTCGGCTCCCGGCAG